TGTTAATGTTTACAGTCATTACTCAATATAATATACCTGTGAATCCCCTCTTAAGATTTGAAGTTTTCCTAATACATTAAAATGTGTAACTTGACTGAGTACGTTGTATCTTTAAAATCTTCAAATCGGCAGGACGTGGATAGAAAATGTTAACTAAATATGGCTGCAATTTGCCACGTACCAAAAGTTTGTGAAGATTTTAAAGTGGTCTTTCATTAATTTTACTCTCCGTTTGTATTCTCAGGACTATTTTAAATACAATTGGCATCTGCAACTGCACTAAAACAGTAAATCTAATAAAATGATTGTTTAATACTTTCTTTGTTTAGAAAAGTAATTTGATTCAACTCAATTTGCTTTCCTGTCTCTCTAGTCTTAAGCAAAAGGTAACGTGCATGTTAAGCAAAAATGAAAGGCTGATACACACCACCCATTCTGCTATTTAGACACAACAAATGTCATCGATATAATTATTTTGTATGATATTAACTACTTTATACTATTCTTTATCTAAGAATAAACAAAATGTGTAGAATGTCATTTTAAATAATATGTAACTTTGTGTTTAGCAATGTGTAAACAAATATCGTCTTTAGATGGCAGTAGTAAATTGTGGACCTAGATGTAATGCATAATGATCCCTAGGATTATAAATCGTGTAATAAAAGAGTGAGAACACATAGTACTCATATCTTTTATTATTATGAACTTATAGAAGAAAGTTAAACAAATACATCCACGGAGCTCTGAGTATATTATCTAATCGTTTTTGTTTTTGTTGTTGTTTTTGCTATTTTACATAATGCTGTTATATAAAAAAAGGTTCAAGTTATGTGAAGCAAAATCAAAGTTTGCAAAAATTAGAAGGCTGAAAGTATAACTAATTGAGTTAAATGATTAATTTGTGATGAGAATAATAAAAGTTATATTTGAGTTTTTTTTTCATTCTTTCTTTACATGTAGTTTATAATTGTTACAAAATCAGACTATGTAGAACCAGTTGCACGTTTGGGGCAGTTGGGTAAATTAAAGTACCTTATATATGCGTGTAACTCTTAGTTCAGTTGTTAATAAAATGTTAACCCAGAATTAATACTAATATTATACATTCTCTATTTCTTGAAAATCCCCAATTGCCTAGATAAAAGACGTAGTGCTTAAAAATATAATAGATCTAATACTTATGTTTTATGACAAGTATAATTGTAATCATTCTTCGCCATCTTGTAAGAGGCGTACAAACCATAACAATTGTTGTTGTATCAAATAGCTTACATAACTAGTGTTCAGATAACTGCTGTGTTGTTGTATCCCAGCCGGCCTGAAGAGCTCTGGATTGAGCGAAAGGCGTCATTGGCAATGGATATGACAAATATAGTGTGGATGGAATACAATCATTATACTATCTTCTAATTCTTGAAATTCACTATGGGACTAGATATATAATGTAGTGTTTAAAAATATAATAAGCCTTATACTAATGTCTTATGACAAGTATAAATGTAGTTGATATTGTCTGAGAACTGCTTCTGCCCGTTTTAACTGACAAATGTCAATGATTAAGTCAAGATACGTCCATGGAATGTACGTTTGTCAAAATACATTGTCAGATATTGGAAACCTAAGGAAACTGCTCTTTGGTAATTCCAGTGAATCTGTAATTAAATATCTGAAGCTGCGTTGTCGTCAAAATTTAAACCTTGTACCCAAACAGATAAGACTCTTTCATACATTGTAGTGACGATAATAGTTTTCTTCTGTTGAACTGTGTTACACCAGATGCCAGATGTCAAAGATAATTTGTGCAATTCACCTTACTTTTATGTATTTCTCAGGTTACAATGACTAATTCAAGCTACTAGAGTAATTCCTCGGTCTAGAAACACAAAAGGCCATGCACTCTCACTGACAACAGCATTAGTTACTATACAACAAACAATGTGTGAGTTACTTGTTCTGTATATCTCAAATTTGATGCTTTTTGGTCTAAATATCTCAAATCTGGCGCTTTTTTGTTCCTTGTTGAGATACCTCAAGTTTGGTGATTTTTGGTCCGTGATTTAAATGTCTCAAGTTTGAAGTTTCCAGGTCTCTGTTTTAAATATCTCAGATTTGCGTTTTTTGGTCCTTCTTTTAGATATCTGAAGGTTGGTGTTTTTTGGTTTCTTTAATATATCTCAGGTTTGGTGGTTTTTGGTCTTTACCTTATATATCTCAGGTTTGATCTTTGTTTTATGTATCTTAACTTTGACGCTCTTTGGTCCTTTTACCAGATATCTTAAGTTTGGCCGTTTTTGCTTCGAATCTGAAGGGAACACATAAATCTGTGGATTCCTGACCCTCAGCTGGTTTCTTTATATTCCTTTTTGTTTTCGTTTTCGGTTCGTGTGAAAGGTCAGTCTTAATCTACAACCCAAAACATCTTCTGTTGAGGTATTCTCTCCTATTCGTTTCTCCAGAAGTGACACCACCTATGGGTTCCTGTTTTTGGTCAAAACTACACGTTCTTTTGTTTTAAACTAAACTGTCTCTTATAGGAGATATATTCGGGTTTCATAAAATAAGCTTTTAAATTTATTACGTATTTTTGGGTACTTACACCGTATCCAGACCAGGTTTGCCTTCTCAATCAAGGAATTTAGAACAGAATTAATCTCTCCTGTTTTCCCTTGGTTTAAGGATCCTTTAATATCGTCCAACAGCTCCATTAACGTATGCACAACCTAAATACGTTCACAACAATTTAAGAGTTTATCGTGTTTTAGGGCTAATCATGAAGACTTTTTTGCCCTAGCTTCAAGGACACTACTCCGGGGCCGCACTTCTCATTAAGTGTTTTGCTACTAAAGGTGTGATTTGATTAAATCTGCTGTCTTTCACTCATCAGCCAAATTAATAATAGTATTTGTTCCTTGTTTCGATGATATGGAGAAAACATATGGTCGCCCCTATAACATTTAGAGTTAGGGAAGCACATTCTGGATATAAAATATGCTAGAAACACCACCAATCGGTGTCCGTAATTCTACTTAGCTTTTCATAGATGTATCTCAACCAGTGTGGAGCACAGGGTTGAAACATACCACAAACTAACATGTCTAGCTGTGTAATACGCCCTGCAAGTATCAATTTTGTATTTCGCCGCCGACATTCCAAATTCAATCATCTCGCTTTCCCTATATCTGCTGTATTAATACACCACTTTTGATTACGGTCATTCTCTAACTAACAGAAGCAACACACACATACATATACACATTGAATTATTGGACTCTCTCAAAAATTTTCATGTTCAAATTCATGTTAAAATGACTCATTAACGGTGAAAATATTTCAAAGTAAAGTATCTAAAGCAAATTATTTATTTCCAATAAATCATGGAAATCTTATGAAAACAAAAATTATATATATATATATATTCGCATTTTTTAAAAGTTAGTAAGAATGAAAATGCTACACAAAGAAAGAAATTAAGTAGATTTGTTTGCAATATACAAGAACTGAAAATAATTTTGTTTATGAATATGATCAGATTTGATTTCATAATATTAAATATATTATCATGAGCATAATTAAAGCTACTCGGAAGGTTTAGGTGACTAATGATTTAGTATTTTGACGTGAACACTGTTTTAAGCTAAATGATTTGAAAGTTTAGTACATGATTGTACGTTAAAATTCAAAAGGTAGTAACAATTACTAAAAAACGGACATTGGTAAGGTGATATTTTTTTCTTAAGTAGCTGAATTTAATATGGTAAACCTCGATAAAATTGCATTTTAACTTCAGTTCGAAAACGTTATAAACCTTAAAGAGCAATACTGTCATACTCTAGAACTACTGTCCTTTAATTTCCTATTATCTGCGTGTTAGATGTATGGCTGGTAACTGATTATTAACACTTCTATTATTCTTCTGGGATGATCACACTAGATCTTCAATTCGTTATCTGAAACTGCCGAGATGCCATCAAAAGATTCCTGTAGGAAAACGTTTTCATTCTTACTAAAGAAAACTAAACATTTACAAACATATACAGTTATCTGAAATATTGTTTTCTTGTCGAAACTGCTTTGATTTCCGTGTGTTAATGTTTGGCAGATAAGTTAAGAATGTAGTTATTACACTGTTATTATAAGAACATTTACAGCTCTGTATTTTAAAAGAAAGTTTAAAAGAAATTACAAGGAATAATTCCTGCGACAAGTGTCAACTTATGGAAAATACTTTAATAAATAATCTCGCAACATACGATAATAGTAAAAAATGAAATACCATGCTGAACGTGCTACATTATAATGTGATTTAGTCATTATTTTGTAACTTTTTTGTGCAACTGTTGCATTATTTTTTCTGAATTTTATTTATTTATTTTTACTTTTTAGTAAACGTATGTTGTATTTTTCATTACATACAAAAGTTTAACAACTATGAAAAAGTTTTGGGTTGAAATACGTATAAAAAGAGTGATACTGAAGTCTGATAATGAAGATGAAAACAGTTGATAAAACAGCTGTTGTGTAATATACATATAATCATTGTTTTATCCGTCCATTTACTGCTCCTCTTAATACTAAGTAAACTAATGATTATGTTATTATATGTTAATTTTAGTTAATAGTCAACTTTGTAACTCGATTTTCAGATTTCGCTAAAGATGAAATAAGTTATACCGAAACGTTCTAACCTTGTAAATATAATATTTTATCAACCATTTTCATCTTCATTAAGAATGATACCGTGTTCAAACAAATGTTATTGTATTAATTGTCACAGTGTCAGAAATACCCTTTCTTGTCACATGTGTCATTTTAGTTCTCAAGACTGGGACATTTTTCCCATTATAGTGTAACTACAGGACAAAATCTTGAAATTAGAAATAGGACGAGTTAAGTTGCTCTCGTACCAAAATTAGAAAATATTGAACTCTCATAACAGTAAATTTTCGAATGAATTTGTTTATTAGGCTACTGAGGTTTTCATTCTGATTTTCATTCAGACAAGCGTCGTACAACAAGCCGCCCATGTCCCATTTGTGGAAAGACGTATGTCAATGAGGGATCGTTAAGGAAACACATTACAAGCCATCCTGAGACGTCATCAGTTTCATCGCCTTTACGCATGTGGCCATGCTCTGTTTGCCAAAGTGTATTTACTCAAGAAGCTGGTATAGTGCATAGTTTTAGAGCATTGCATGCATTATTAAAAGCTACTATAAGCATATTGTTCCTTAGTCTGTATATCTACTGCTTTGGAAAAAAAGGAGAATTCCTGTCTTCTCTTCTACATTTTCATTGTTATTTATATCTCAGAAAATTTACGCTGCCTGTGTGATTTCATTTTGAGGTCATTAAAACATTGTTTTAAATCTTCGTGTCATCTTTACTGTCACCATTAGTAATAATAACGGTCGACAATAGCTTAACATTCTAATTTCAGCTTAAAGATGCTGCATTAGTACCAGTAGGCGTGGCACTATACTTGCCTCACATTCTCGTTTTTTTTGTTCTTGTTTTAGTAATCTTCTTTTGTTTAAGTCCCCCAAGAAACAACAAGGCAATCATTTGAACACTACTAAATATTCATGTTTAGAGTTTAAGTAAACATATTCAACGATACTTTCTCTAATTCAGTTCTTCATGAACCAACTGAACCTTTCAAGTATATAGACTTTCTCCAAACTTCCTTAATTTATGGAATCATTTAAATCCAAATACACTCTCCTGTCTAGACCCTCAATAACCAACAAAAACTTTCAAATATGTATAATAAGATTCTGTGTGTGTGTGTGTCACGTAACTTCTCCTAAACCGCTGGTCGCACAAACTTTTAAATGGTACCAAACGAATCGTCTCGGTTTCAAGGTTTGCACAAAAGTAAAACCTTTCAACCTTAGGGAACACTGCTATTTCGCGAAAACACTTTTATGGGAATTCCCCGAAAGCAGACCCCAAAGTTGGAACTGATTTACATTAGAGCATGCAAATAAGTAGGCCTACTCATTGCAGTTCGTAACTTTAAGAAATTAAATAATAGCGGCAGAACAGTAGTTAAAACGTTAAATTTGCATTATAGCGGCTTGGTAAATGCCATAGGGCCCACAGGTTCGCTAGTACAGTTATAATTTATCCTTCATGAATCAACAGGACCAAAATTATCCTCTGCTTTTCATTAAAAAAAAACTGAACAACAGTTATCCTTTACCTTTAAATAACAATACAGCTATCCTTTGCCCTTCATTAATAAACAAAACGTATCAAATACAATTATCCTTTATATTTCAGTTACTAGAACATTTCAAATAGTTAAACTATGCTCTTGATTAATCAACAAAATCATTTATCTATTGACCTTCATTTATTTTCCACACAATTATTCTTTGCTTTTCATTAAACATAAAACTCTTAGTATCTTTTGCTGTTAGTTAATCAACAGAACATTTGAATATAGTTATTATTTGCTAGTCATAAGTAAAAAAAATACCTCTTATATACAGTTATCCTTTGCCCTTCAGTAATCAACAGAACTTTTCAAATACAACTATCCTTAGTTCTTCATTAACCAACAGACTCCAGTTATCCAATATAACTATATTTTGCCTTTCAGTAATCAACAGAACGTGTAACGGTCTAAAATAAACAACTATAACAACACTTAGAAATAAATTCAACACTTACCAAAACACAGTTAATGAACACGTGCCTGGCCAAGACTTGGCACTTATGTTAATGAACAATATATCATAAATATCATTGATATTTCAAATAATGGAATCGGGAAAAGAACCAGAAAGAAAAACCCTAATTCCAAAAAATACCTTTCTATACTAATAACAATATCAAGTGATAAATAGCAATAATTTCCTTTTCCCTCTCTCTCTTGTAGTGAAGCTTCTGGTAAGGTATTTATTCACTGAGTAAATCACAAAAGTACACCTTATGTGATCATAAATTTACATAATCTTCTGGTACATTAATAGAATCTGTACACAATCTCTAAGTATCTCTTAGTGAAGCTTCTGGCATGGTATTTATTCACTGAGTAAGTCACAAAAGTACACCTTATGTGATCATAAATTTACATAATCTTTTGGTACATTAATAGTAACTGTACGCACCGCTAGGGAAGCTGGTGTTAATTTCATCATACATACATATTTACTCAAAATACAAATGATTAACTGGAAGGTGAGTTGGCGTTTTAATGCAACTACAAATTCATAGATAAATTAAACGATAGAAAGAAATAATAAATGAACGGTAAACAAAACCATAAACATAAAAAATAAAGCTATCCTTCGTTCTTCATTAATCAATAGACTTCTAGTTATCCTATGTAGCTCTCGATTAATCAAAAGAACCACTGTTAATTTTTACACTTTCTTAATCAACAGGATCACCATTATTTTTCACACTTTCTTAATCAACTGAACCACAGTTATTATTTGCCTTTCATTAATAAGCAGAACAACAGTTATCTTTCGTCTTTCGTTATTGAACACAACAAGAGTTATCTTTTTTCCAACCCTTCATTAATCAAAAGAACCACAGTTATTTTTTTTACAGTTTCTTAACTAACAGAACCAAATTTATTATTTACACTTCCTTAATCAATAGAACCACACTTATTTTTCACTCTTTCTTAATCAACCGAACCACACCATAACAACATTTACAGTCTTGGCCATAATGTTTACATACTGTCCTATATTAATGTTATTGTCTATTGTTACTGTTATTGAGTAAATGCCTGAGTAGTAACAGAGAAGGTAGCGTATGATCGGACAAGCATATATGAGTTGTTATTCTGGTTTGTATAAGTTGTTTTGAGCATTTGTTCGTCAAAACACACGTACACACCTGTTTTGTATAAAAGGGTGTGCTTTTGGTATAATCTTTTTTAAAAAAGATCAATGCTTCGTTCAGGCCCCCCAGTGGCACAGCGGTATGTCTGCGGACTTACAAAGCTAGAAACTGGGTTTCGATACCCTTGTGTAGCTTTGTGCATAATTAAAAACAAACAAACAAGCTTCGTTCAGACAATTTGTCTGTATTTGGTGTGGAGTCATGCCTCGTCACGTGCCAGAAGTTATAAGGCGTCAAATTGTTCGACTGTCCAAAATGATATGAAGCAAATGGACATTGCCGAAACAGTAACGTACCCCCAGTGTACTGTATCCAGAATCCTAAAACGTCATCGAACTACTTGAAACATTTTTCCAGGAAAGCCTACTGGTAGACGCCGAAAAACTACTGCCTGAGATGACCATGTTTTGACCAGGTTAATGCGTTAAGGTCGAAATAAGTCGTGCAACAACTTACGACAAGAATGACATAAATGACTAAACAAGGTTATTTTGCAAGAAGGACTATCTGCAAATTGATATTAACCAGAATTCACCGCCATCACCGTATTACTTGGGCAAGATAGTTTGCCAACTTACAGTTAGGGCACTAGCAACATGTCATCTCTTCAGACGAGTCCTGTTTCAGACTTGTTAAATCTAATGGTAGTATTCGTGTTCGACGTTTGCCTGGAGAACAGATGTGAGAAGACTGTCTTTCCCACAGGAAACTCGCAGGAGATGGTGCAGTAAATGTTTGGGCAGCTATTCAACATGGTGGAAAAATTGCTCTTCATATCCTTCAGGGAACCACCAATGGCGCCCCCTACAAGCATCATATAGAGACGACATTTCTACTATATGCTAGGGCAAGATTTGTCAATAACTTTGTGTTCCAGGATGACAATGACACAGCCAACAGTGAACGTATTGTACAGGGTTATTTCGACCAGAAGGACGGTACAAGATTGCCATGGTCGGCAAGGTCTCCAAATTGTAATCCCATTGAGAAATGTTTGGCAGAACCTAGCCGTAAAATTGCTAACCATGACCCTAAACCAGCTACTGTAGCTGAGTTGTAGTGGCTTCTAGTGATAAGTTGGGATTAAATCAGGATGGATTACATCAATAATCTCATCGATAGCATGCCACGCCGCCTTGTGGAGGCTATTAGATTATGAGGAGGACCATTCAAGTACTGAATGTTTAATATGAACTGATACAAGGTTACAGACGCTATTTATAATAGATTGATGTTATATTTTGTCATTATATTTTTTGCTAAGATTTTGTTGTGATAGGTGAAATGGTGAATTAACTATCTTTCTACAGTGTCTGGTAAAATTGTTTGCTGTTCTAATAAATCGTTCGTGATGTCCATAGAACTGTTTCATTATACAAATTACATATGTAGATATTTAATATAACATGCATTTCTCAGTTTGACAGCACTAAGTGTATTTGTATTCCATCTTAATAACAATGATTTTGCTTGTTATAAAATATGGAAACATTTTGGCCAAGACTTTATTTTAATTGAACAAAACACCCATACTCTAAACCAACACCCCGGGGTACCAAATACCTTTACTAAGCTGTTAAGCAATCATCTTAAATATATTCCGGTGTCTATGTAACCTACTTGCACCTGATGATGATATAATCTTGTTGAAACGTTGTACATTTGTTTCTTTGGTTATCAATTTAAGCCGTCTCGAAGCTTATTTTCTAAAAAGTAAGCTCCTCGTTATTAAATTTGAATTCACAGTTATCCTTTACCCTTCATTAATAAACAAAACCACAGTTATTCTTTACACTTCATTAATAAACAAAACCACAGTTATTCTTTACACTTCATTAATAAACAGAACCACAGTTATTCTTTACCCTTTATTAATAAACAAAACCACAGTTATTCTTTACCATTCATTCCAGGTTTTATATTTAAAATATATTTGTAATTTCATAACTTATTTTGCATTTTAAGTATTTTGCTTCCTTCTTTTGTCATGCAATGTACTTTTTATATTTCTTTTAATAAATTCTAACAAGTTATATTTCTAATGGTACTTTAACAGTTGTTGCTATTACTAGCTTCTAACAAGTTATATTTCTAATGGTGCTTTAAGAGTTGTTGTTATTACTAGCGAAAATTTTAAATAAGTTGAAATGTAAGTAAAATGTTACAGTCTTGTAAACCATGTATAATAACAGCTTACTGGTTATATAGAGCCTTTTACGCATGTTCTTTAATTCTTGAACTCAAAGAATGATTCGTAATGGTAACATATCAATATTTACACGTTGGACATGTAAATATATAGATGGAATAAGAGCTCCGCGTATTAGAAACACTGTCTTTGAATTTAAAGCAATTACTCACACGAATTATTGGTTTGAAAATAATTTTATGTTAAATTTGAGGAAAAACCTTACAATTCAAAACAATTTTAATATTTTTATTTAGTTCTAAACATGCTTCCCTGTATACGGCAAAACACAATAACTGTAACCCATCAGAAAATTAAATACCCCAATATTAACAGATCATTTGTAGGAGTAAGAGTGTTTATTGTTTATTTGTAACTAAGCACAAAGCTACACAGTGGGCAATCTGTGCTCTGCCCACCACAGGTATCGAAACCCGGATTTTAGCGTTGTAAGTCCGTAAACATACCGCTGTGCCACTGGGGGGCGAGTAAGAGTGATTTTGGCAGTTCTATGCATACGCAAAAAGCAATATACTATCTGTTTATTAGCGGAACATTTGTTAATTTTAGAATTATACAGAACTTCTAATTACCAATCAAATGAAAAGGAAAACTATTTCTTTGTAATTGCTTTAAATTTAAATACAGCGTTTTTTCATCGCAACTCTCTTACTTCATCTATAAATTTGCATGTCCAAGTTGTAACCATGGCTATATGGGCTCTACAGTTTTTTTTTGTTGTTGTTCAAGAATTAAAGAGCATGTACACAATACTCCACGTAATCTGTCATCTATTGTTCTAGCAATTTTAAAAGACTGTGGTAGTTTACCTACCGTCTAAGAGTTTTGTATTCTGGGGAGTTTATATAACCGTGTCTTTCAGTGAAATTTTTTATTATGGTTAAATCCTTCTTTTCAGGCCTTCTACTCCATATGGAGAATATGAGAATGGATCCCAAACACCAGTTCGCTGCCCAATATGTTCTGAGTCGGGTAGCTGCAGAGAAACGAGAGAAAGAAACACATATAAGCTCCACAGCACCTCTAGAAGTGGCCAATCTATCCAAGAGTGGAGGCAGTTCTGGCTCTAACCAACTCAAAGAATCACCAATATGTCATAACAATGGTAGTAGCCACAATGGAGCAGTTATGAATATACTGTCCAACATAAAAAGCCTATCAAATATTAATAGGCCTGCTCCGGCTCATTCTCAGACACCGTCAGCCCTTCCACACAGGCATGTTATACCGCAACTCGCTTTATCTCGCGTGTCTTCTCAAAACCATTCACAACAATTCTACTAAACGTCATAGAATGGTTAATATCTCTTAGATTTACGATCATAGAAGTACGTTTACAAGAATAAATAATTTTAACTCGTCAGAAACTTAAATACCCCTATATTAACACAATTTAATAATTTGTGATGATGATGTGCAGTAAGAGTTATTTTGTCACTTCTATACATGAGCATTAATGAACCTTTTTATTGTAGTTAGTCTTAATTTTTGAGGTATACGTTTAAATACTATATGTTTGATCTCCTCTTAAAGACTTATACACAAGCTTTCTCTGTCTGCCGTGGATCATTGAGTTACTTTTTGAATGAATATGAATTTATGTAGAATTTTCAACGGACTTAACAAAACACAACTTGTTTTCGGACTGAGGAACCAGAGTTTTTTCGAAAGCTACAACACGTTAATGTGTACGTGAGCACGCAGAAGCTTGTAATTCGTCTTTAAGTTGGATTTAAACATGTAGAAAGTGAATAAAGTAAAATTTATTGTTTAAAAATCTAAGCACAGTGATATTTAACTTCGATTTACTTTGTGTATTGTTTTGGCCAAGTGAGCTGTGATACAAAATTTGCTTACTACTTAAAGTTTGTAAGCAACTGTGAGCCAGGAAGAGTTGGATCATGGAGGTATTAGGTAAACCTGGCCCTAATAATAATCATGTGTAATGTTAAAATTATGTATAATGTCTTTGTTTACATATAGTGTCACTGGGATGAAATTCCATAGGCACTCTAAACACTTCTATATTTCTCGGTCAGTGATCTTGTCCGGTGTATTGTATTTCCGGATTTTGTTATCAATAGTAACAAGACTAAAGTGTTGTGATCATAATCGGTGTGCAGTAGTATGTAGTTTCTTTATAGTAGAGTTAGTACCTTTAGATTACAACAGACAGACAGGCTGCTGTCAGTGAAGATTTTGTAATATCGGTGCGTGATTTTCTTGTTATAAACTACAACTATAGAATTAGTTAAAGCGAAATATTATGCATATTCTTTTCCATTATAAAAGTAGAATAAATAGCCCAATAGTGTTTAACGTGTTGTGTCCTTTGATAACAATTTGCCTAAAAGGCTATTGATATACCCTTGTGACAAGCGATATTTATTTTTATGAAATTTGTAAAATTAACTAGAAGTCTTCAGGAAAATTCTAATTATATAGGTAAGATTTGAATTATGGATGTTCGTCTATAACATCAGTATTTTCACAGGAGAGAAAACTTCTATAAGAACATAAAATAAACTGGGGCCAAATTGGTAGTGTAGGAAGTTTGCTTAAAACTTTCACTCAAAGCTATAGTGTGGGAAATAATAAATATCCAAAATGCTGCTAACATTTCAAATATTGAAGGTTTTTTTCGTGGCCAAGTTATTAAACTCTTACCTGAAATTTTTCGTTTGAATTATATTAATTATTCAGGAAATAACTTTAAAGTTAACTATATTATAGTTATATAATTTGATATAACATAGTTCATGTGATGCAGATATTATCTAAATATATGTTTTTAAAAGTTATTGAAACTAATCCATTGATAAACTTTTATGAGTTAAATGTATTACACAAAGAACGAGAGATAAACAAAGTATGTGTTTAATTTAGTTTATCATATTGGAGAGAAGGTATTTGGGCCTATAAGCGGACTCAATGGAAAGATCATTAATATTTTTAAAAATTATAATTTTGAATATAGAGTGTATCAAAATTATTTAAATTTTTTGTGCCTGAATAAGAGATGTTTACATATGATATTTTGTGAGAAGTCCATTTGGATGCTTACGCTTTTTTTTTAACCAATATTTCTCTTCTCCTACTTGAAATTCGATCTTTGAAAAAATATAAGAAACTTAAATTAAATGTCCTAAAGATTTATTCGAAAAATGCCACTTTTCTTTGGATTTTTTTCCTAAACTACATTTTACGCCCAATGTTTAATAACAAACATTTGATACGTGGCGTTTGCTGTGATAACCAGAAATTGAGAAATGTTGCCACGCGCACACAAAATTTTGTTTACAGTGTTACTTAACTAATTTATTTGAATAATATTTTTGTTTAGACTCGCTGTTAATTTCAACGATGTATGTACATTAGGGGTATATTATTTTATTTTTATACATACTTTTGTTTTTCTGACAAATTTATTTGAAATAAGAACAAAGTTATAGCAACTTAGTGAAAACCAGGTAGATGGTTTTCTTGTCAGATTATTCGATGAAACACTCCAATAAGACAACGCATTTATTTTTATTGATAGTAATAAGACCAAAGTGTTGTGATCATAATCGGTGTGCAATAGTAGATAGTTTCGTTTTGTATGAATATGAATTTATCTCTTAGAGAATATGAGAAAGGATCTCAAACACCAGTTCGCTGCCCAATATGTTCTGAGTCTGGCAACTGCAGAGAAACAAAAGAAAAAAACACATGTAAGCTCCACAGTACCTCTTGTAATCGTGAAAAAATATATACGTATATATGAATTCTTGTAAAAATATGTTTATAATAACTTTCGCTTTCCCTTTGTTATTTATCAATTAATCATTTTTACTTTCTGTCATGTTTTGACCTATCCTATCTTTCCGTCTCAGTTTTTGACGAACTCTATTCCGTGAACTCTATTGACTAATATTCCAATTATTCTTCCCACTGTGTTATTTTCTTCCCTTTTTTCCACGTGCCCATAGCATCCCAGTTTAGCTTCACGCGCTTTTTCTATTATTTTACATACCCCAGCCTACTTTCTAATATCATCACTCATAATACTATTCCTTAACGATATTTCCATCATCTAACGTAACATTCTCATTTCCGTCTTTTCCAGCAAACTTTCTTCTTTCCTTTACAATTTCCATAGCTCTGCTCCATACAACAGAAATGATCCAATTACAGTCTTAAACATCCAAATTTTTAATTTCCTTGCAATTTTCTTGACACAAATAACTCCCGAAATACTGCTCTACTTCTGTCATCCACACTTTCTCTTATTTCCAGGTCGCATTCCCCAGTCTCATTTGTATATGAGCCGAGGTACTTCATTTGTTTGGGTTATCTCTCCGTCCGGCCTATCTTATATTTTGACTAGATGTCTTCCTCTTTTACTACTTGCTAATGTCTTCGTCTTCCCTGTATTTACCTTAAGTCCATTTCACTCCAACTATTCATGCCCCAATCTATATCTTACCTATAGTTCCTTCTCGCTTCTAGCCATAATCACTAGATCGTCAGCAAGTAACAATTCCCATATCTCTCCTCTTCTGATAGTTTTCTGAAAAGACATCCATTATCTTTATAGAGAGGAATGAGCTAAAAGCCGACCCTTGATGCAATCCTACCTTTACTTCAAATTCATCAGTATTTCCTTGTTTTGTTCTTTGTACACCTTGGATCATTCAGACAGTTTTTCTGATACCCCTTTCTTTCCTAAAAAACAACAAAAAATCTTTCTTGGTGCCCTGTCATATGCATTTTCTAAGTCTACAAAACGCCAATATAATGTTCCATTTTCTTCTAAGATCTTATTTTGCAACTATCTTAAAATGTACATTGTATCAACTGTGCTCTTTTCCGGTATAAAACAAAACTGTTTCCTAGCTATTGATATTACATTCCTTCGAAGATTTTCAAAAGATGCTCAATTAGCTTAACGTCTCTATAATTACCACATTCCAATACATCACCCTTCTGCTTATGTCTAGATACCACTGTGCTCTTTCTCCAGTCTTCTGAAATTTTCTACACATCCTATACTAACTGCAAGAACTTCCATACCATATCCACGACTTCCTCACCTATGGCTTTGATCATCTCAGCTATCACCCCTGATTGGCGCACTCACCTTATCCACGCCTTCTTCACCCATTGTTCTAATAACCTCAACTGTCACCCATGATGAGCCAGCCACTCGCCTTACCTTGTTTGATTTTCATGATACAGTTTTTACTTCTGATCTACTTATTTCTTTTACTAGTCATTGAACTCTGACCACATCCTCCATATCATCTCTTTCATGTTTTACATTCAACATTTCTTCATAATACTGCATCCAACTTTTCTTTATGTCCTCACCCTTAACAGCTATTGACCCCTCTCTGTTCTCTAATGCATTTACTTCTCCAAGATATCTTTGTGTTTTTTTTTTATAGATTTTGCAGCTTACTATATATTCCACCAATGATTCTTTCTTTCCCATGGCCACTGCTTGCTTGGCATTCCTTTTAGCTTCCCTATACACGAGAGTGTTGTTTTCATTTTCTTGCGACTCTTTGAATATTCTTCTCTTTTTCGTTATCGCTTCCTGCACTTCCTCATTCCACTACCATGTATCTATATATTGTTATTTACTTCCTTTTGATGCTCCACAGACTTTAACACCTGCTTCCTATTCCTGATCCAGGTCTTTTCTTTCCACTGCATTTGCATTTGTGTTTTGTCTCCATCTGGTCTCTTTTTCTTTGAATTTACTGATATTTTCTCCATTCAATTTCCACATCTTCAATTTAGCTCCTATTTTTCACTTCTTTATACTGTTCTCTCCCTGTATCTTTATACCCATTATCAACAGCTGGTTCACTGTTTTCTCCCTATATCTCACTTTGCAGTTATTAATATTCTTTCTACCTATTCATTTGGCAACCACAAAGTCAAGTTGTCTTGCGTATTGACTACTGTTATACGTAATTAAGTGTTGCTCTGTTTTCTGAAATCCAGTGATGGCAATATACATTTCTAAAGCGTCTCCCAATTCAAGAATTATATTTCCCTCTTCATTTCTGATTCCATACTAATGTCCTTCATGCACTCCCTGAAAGTTAACTTATCTTTCACCAATTTGGCTGTTTAGATCCCTTCCAATTATAATCCTTTCATTAATGGTACCTAATGACCAGCTCTTCAAGATATTCCCTAAATTGTTACTTTCATCCTCTTGACCACCTTGTTGTAGAGTATTCACTGATATCAGGTTTATAATTATATCACTAAAAACCACCTTTACCGTGATAGCTCTGTCACTTATCCTTTATACTTCGATTACTTTCTATTTGAATTCTGTATTTAGTTTATGCCCATTCCATTTCTCCTTGTATTCTGACCGCAGTAGTATACGTTATATCCTTCTCCCAGCTCTCTTGCATTTTAATTTAGTCTCCTGTTTACAAAGCTCCATATCTGCTTATACACTCCTTTTTACGCTTCCTTTCCACTTGCTTCTTTGGTCGCAGTTGTGGAGTGTGCGGTACCCCTCTTCCGTTTCTCACAACAACCGAGGGATAGTGTTGCACGTAGCTTACAGCAAACACCTTAGCCATATGCTCATCTCCAATTAACCCGAGATACATATTTTATATTAGACAAGAAGTTTTACACTCGGGTGACTGGCCCTGATAGGAAATCTTATTTTTCATCTGGGCTTGAGACTGGCATGATCACCTGGGCTGGAATAAGTTCATTCCAGCTCGCATGGCAGAGTTCCTTCCCTCTAGTCTACTATTGTTAAATTAGGATGGCTAGTGCAGATAACCTTCGAATAGCTTTGCACGAAATTCAACAAAACAAAGAAACACTGTTAGTTATAAGTATAAGCAGACGTTACGGAGTTTTGGATAAGATAATATAACAACGCTTGTTTCGAAAATCAAGTGGAAATGCTTATGCTTGAACACACAGGCTGTCATATGTGTATCAAAGGTAACGGCTAACTTACCCTGTCTCTCATATCCCAGTTCGTAATAAATCTATTTACACGTGTCGGATATTGCTTGTTCTACCATTTCAAAAGCTAATGATTCATTACAAAAAGTAAATAAACAAACAAAAGAAAATCAGAGTAGAATTTAAATTTCTAATTAAATAAAGAAATGAGGTTGCAATATAGAAAACAAAATAATAAATCGATATACCTTACAAGCTTCTGTACAATATTAACCACTGCAAAAATAATAACCAGTACTTTAACAATAAGCAGTTGAACGATAGTTTCAAGCATAAGCAATAGAAATTTTGCTCTAATTGTATGTGCTAGGTAATGATAAATAATATGATGGTTTGTTTAAGTTTTAGGGCAAAGCTACACAACTGGGCTATGTGGGGAATTAAACCGTTGTAAGTTTGTAAGCATACGGCTAACTCACTCGAGGACTAAATACTTTTTATTGGATATTTATAATTAATATTGCCTTTTGAACAAGTATCAGAAGTAGAAGTAATTGAATTTTACACGTGCTGTTTACTCAAAACATTTTACTGGTGTATTTGATAAAGCACGTAAGGAAAAGTAAGAGTTAAATATTATAATTATTGAGTTCAAATGAACCGTAAGCATAACTGGAATATTTTCGGATTCAAGAAATGTTTATAATACTCTCAGTACCTGTAATTATTAAAAACATACGAGATAGTAACAATATGTTGTACACCGTATCAGTAGTAAGTTATGTTTAGTTGTCCTTTCTTTTTTTTTCTTACTCGCTACAGAAAGCAATCTTTTTCTAGGAATTATGATTTTAACTACAGTGCCGATGAAATGCTCTTTTTTTCAGTGTTTTCTACATTTGTAAGTGCCTGTTTATGTGTTTATGGTTCTTACAAATCTTACAAATACAAATCTTGTTTTAATGAGATACGCTCTCTTACAGCAAATAACATGCATTTAGGTATTTGTGAGAAAATTACATTTTAAAAGGCATAGAAATGAATGTATTTGAACTTTACACCTTTAGTTTAGGAAGTTTACTATTTTTCAATTCAACTTAAAATAATATATAGACATATAAATATCTCAAAGTTTGGAATAACTTTTGTCGTGAGAAATAACATTATGATTCTTGAAGAGCATCAGCCATTTTTTGCATATTTGTTATAGGGCTTTGTTTTTACAAGAGAATGAAAGGGTCTAATAATGCTTGGCATCGAATTCGAAAATGAAAGGGTCTATTATTGTTATTCATTTGATGCCCTAATATAAAGAGTAACTTAGAGTTTCATAATGAAACGAATGTTTCTGAGCTATTGGTAATACTATTTAAAACAAATTTAAACATAGTTGAGTTCCGTTCTGTTTATAAAGCTGGTAGTCTATACAGACAGCCCGGAACTTCTATTTCGGTATAGATTGCGCGTCACTATTCTCCATAATCAAAATAAGACACCTCACATTTGTTAGGTGTCAAGAAATTATTCTGTAAAAATGCAATCCAATTCTGAAGGTAAGAAGAAGAAGACATTTTTCCCTGTACATAGGCTGTTTTTCCAAATATTTAATGTAGAAATTCAGCAAAGTGTCCTGAGATATCTTTGAGACTTTGGAATAAGCCTTTTTGGATAACATTTTGATATAGAAGAAAAAAGGAAGAAACCTGTTTCAAAACCTTCCTCTTTCTTGATCCATTTGTCCTCCCTTAGATTTGCATTGTGTATTATTCCGCAACTATTTTGTTGTATGTATTTTAAGAATATTTATCTTTATATACTCCAGTAAACTTCCATGGCAATGCAACAAAAGAATGGATTGCTTTATGATTACTTTAAAACATATATTTCTTAGAAAATTTGTGTCGCTTGGAAATTCAAAGCCATGGCTTCAACATAATATTCTCTTGTTCCGATGTTTTGGTTGATGCATAGCATTTAAACTTATATTATAGTTTTTACAATTAAAGTAAAATTGTAGGATTAAATAAATCAATAATTAAAGGAAGTACCCTGTTATGTAAAACTTAAATCCATCCGCTACTTGTTTGAGTTATCTAGCTTAGGAGTTCTCTTCTTGTTTGTCTCTTGGTGGGACTGCGATAAGTTTACCGACTTACAACGCTAAAATAATGTGGAGATCGATTCCCCTTGGTAGACACAGTAGATAGTCCGCTGTGGCTTTGCTCTAAAACTACACTTCTTGTTTGTCTCTTGGTGGGACTGCGATAAGTTTACCGACTTACAACGCTAAAATAATGTGGAGATCGATTCCCCTTGGTAGACACAGTAGATAGTCCGCTGTGGCTTTGCTCTAAAACTACACTTCTTGTAGTTGTTGTACCTGATGATACCTGGTGAAACGTTGAAACCATAGATATTATATTCTATAGAGTTAAAGGTTTTCCTATAAGCATAATCGTGTACTTATTGTTTTAATAGCAGATGTTTGCCTTTTGCTATTATTTCATAAAAGTAAGACAATTTATGTGTGCTTATTTTAGCTGATACTATTCATGTAATTCATGGCCTGGATATACTGTATCTTGTTACTTCTTGATATTTAATTGTTGATCCTCAACAGTTAAAGTTATATTTTTTCTGCAACAAGTACAAGATTGGATAATGGTCAGTAATTTCAAAGTCAGCAGATATCATCAGAAGACCAAATAGAAAAAAATGAATGCGCAATAATATGGTTTCTAGAAACAATAATGGTATTTTTTTAGTAAAAAGTACAACAAAGTGTTTAAAGATTTCACTAAGACATAACGCAGATTTTGTTTTTAAAAACATTTTCTTACTATAGAACATTTATATGGGAATATGTTACGTCAGTGTAAGCCGAACATACTTCCAGTAAATTACATCATATCATGTTTGATTTCTATGATGCATATATAATACATTTTTATTGCTCTTATAAATGACATTGACAATTATCCCCAATGCCGATTTATGCTCTTTATTAGGTATATATTTTAGTTCTGATATAGATAGCTAGCTTGCATTAATTAGAACTTAATATTAATGAGAAACCATAATTAACTTTCTCGTAAATTTCAAATAGCTTGTAATTGAACAGATGTTATAAGTTGTTCGATACTGAAATGATATCATTTAATAAAGCTGTATAAAATCACTGTAATATCCTTCAGGAATAAGAAAAAATCTAAGGAATATCTATTAGAATTATTGTTTGCTAAATTTGTTTTAAAATATCATTATTATATTGGAAATTTGTATTGGATGCTAAATAGGTGAATGACATGAAGAAAAGACTGTCTGCATAATGATGTATTTTATTTAAGATCCAAGAAACGGTACGTACAACAGATAAAATAGAATGAACCTTACGAAAGTTAAGCATGCATAAACATAAAATTCTTAGCTTCAATATCATAAATTCATAACTTCTTTGTCATCACTATATATATATATATTACATTTTGGTGCACACTCCGACATCAGTACTAACTTATATAAACATTTCGAGTTTTAAATAAATGCCAACTCTCACAAACTTTACCATCAATTATTAATAATTATGTACCTTAGTAACATATATCATTCAGAAAGAACAGTACTAACATTTAGTAATTCATTATGTTTCTGCCTCAATACGTGTAAGACATAAAACTAACTTATGTCATCATTATTTGTAGTTTATACAGTATAACGTCAATTCTAACTTTTTGTTTCTTTCACATTACATAAATAACTACACATGCAGGTGTCAACATTAACTTTTAAACGAATGATTCAGTCTCTTCATATTACACGTGAATTTTGCAGCGCTCGAACACTAGCACAAAATGTTAATGACTGACTTTTTTGTTTTATTCACTGTACCCTAACACATGAAGACACAAAGACTAATTTTTAATGAGGGACTTGCTTTATTTATTAAACCGAAGAGCATACATACGTCAGTATTAGTTTCTAATATGTTACTTAACTTTATTTAATAAACCGTAAGGTACAGAAACTCTGCACTGAACGTTAATGAGTGCCTTTCTTTGCGTTACTTGCCAAATTGTAGCGCAACAGACATAACAATGGTTCTATTTCTTAGTTTTATTTATTAATTTATAGTGCACACAGCCATAAGCACTAAATCTCAATAAGCGACTAGATTTCTTGGCTTTGCTTTTACGAAACTTTAGCGCAAAGAACGTAGCACCTTTTACTGAGTTCGAAAAAAAATGGTAATATTACTTACAGTTTTCATTATAAATGTAGTTATATAGTATTGTAAGGTATATTTAGTAGTGCAAAAAGATTCATATTATAATACACGTAATAAAATTAGGCAAAATTTTACGATGATGCTAGAAAATTACAACAAACAAAACAGTTATTTGAACTATATCTGCTGATGCTCAGCTTTGGATGTGATAAATACCAAGTTAATAGCACTGAAATCCAAACTGGATAAAGAGTTTGGTTACTGACAATATGTAGAAAATTAATTTCCCTACTTATTTTGGTCTTTAATATACATTAATAGTCTGAAGATTTTCTCTCGTTGTAAGTAGTCTGTTGCAGTAGTATAACCTTATTCTACTCAAATCTATATTATATTTAAATATAATGGTGCGTGTTATACGTGATGTGCTGTAAGATAATGGTGATTTTTCTGTAATGTAATGTTTCGTTGGTCATTGCGTGATATTAAAATGTAGCAAAGAAAAGCGGTCTTGTTTTTATTATAGTTTAGAATTTCCTAAATCACTTATGCGACATTTGTTCAATACAAATGAGCTTAAATCTGACTTAGTGTTTTTATTTCTGCGAAGAAAAGTACGAAGAATGTTATAGCTTTGTGTATTCTTTGAAACTGATTTTCTTGAAGAACCACACTCTTACAGTTGAGCTCTAAAATAAATGGTTGTGTACTCGGAGAAACATGTGGTTAGCTGCATGGCAGGGTGGTTAGATTTGACTTTTACGCACCCAGAGAACCATGATTATCTCTGAAAATATTCTACATATAGAGCTCCAGCCTTTATGACATGGAAATTCGGAATGACCGTAGTAACGTAACAAAATTGTTAGCAGTTATGTTCTTCACGATGTACTAAATTCAGTATATTCAAGATAACTCAGAAACAATGTTAACAGTGTCTACCATTTTGACGTGTAAATTCAAATTACCACGATAACTCAATGCTTAGAGTCTGATCTTCATGATTTTCAAATTCACAATGAACAGGGTAACTGAGCAACAGTTGTAATAATATTGTCAACAACAGGTACAAATTTTGGATAACCATAATAATTAAATACTAATGTTAAAAAAGTTTGGCCATCTTGCCTTATTAATTCAGAATGAACAAAGTAACTAGATACCACTGTTCACAATCTCGTCCAATTTAATGTGCAAATATAAAATGACTAGAATACATTAACAGTGTATGAGTTTTGGCTAATATACTTAAAAGTTAAGATCAGAAAAGTATGATTCAAAAGTGAGGAAAGTTTTCGCCTTCATAAAATGCAAATCAAGAAAAAACTGGCTAATTAAATAACAATATTAATACTTTAAATGTAAATTAAAGTAATTAAAATTGAATAACTAACAATTCCTGAAACTATAATGTCTAAATAAAAGATAAACAAGATAACTAGACACTATTGTCTATAGTGCGATTCATTATAGCGTACAAATTAATTAATAATAGACATCAAATTAACTTTAAAATGTAATTCTAGTTACTGTAACATAGATTCTAGAATGTACATTGTAAGTTAGAGTCTGATAACAGTTTCAACAATAAGGACCTACTAATGAAGCTCAAGAGGTTTTCTCACATTAACGAAACTAGCAAAATATTTATTACAAAACCATATTAATCAATAGTAAAAAATAAATAAAAAACATTATTACCCAGATAACTTTCAGAATATTAACATGGGCATTTAACAGAGAACTTTGGAATAAAGCAGTGTGATGTCTAGGATAGTTATAAATTTGTTACTGGTCAAGGACTATGATAGTCTAAAGTATAGGTGTAGAATTAAATGTAACAGTGACTTTCTCTGAAAGTAAGGCGAGAATAAAGTGACTGAAGTGCATTTGGAGCAGGTAGAAAGCAAAATTAAAATAAATAAAAGATAACAACCTCAACCATTAGGAACTACATGACGAGCGAGGTAACTAATATATATTATTATAACAGTTTCTTTTATTTGGTGGGTTCTTTTGAATTATTCGGTAACTAAAAGAATTCAACGTTCAAATTACTTAAAGATGAAAAAAGTGTTTTTTCTTCGGCTACAAGAAGTACAAGCTCTACAATTCTGCCTACCAACGATAGACCTAACTTCACAAATAAATAACCTCTAAACAGAAAATTTAGAAAGTCTTTTCTGAAGCTAACAAGTTGCCTTTTGTATTACCTCTAGAGACGATTATTGAGATTGACATTTGGTTCGGACCACTTTTCTCTCTGGATACTGCACTGATGCAGTTTAGATTGATTATCTATATTTTCTTATGTTTCCATCCTTGTTGTCATTGAACGTTTGACCTCTAATGATGTAATTATCATGTATTGCACAGGGAGCTCCTTGGCATAGACTGTGCAAATATTTCTAGTAAGACTATTTGACGTCTGTGTTTCTGCACGAATCCTATTCTCAATATGAATTCTTCTTCAATGTCAGTTGGTTCGAATCCCCGTCACACCAAACATGTTCGCCCTTTCAGCCGTGGGGGCGTTATAATGTTACGGTCAGT